TACTAAGCAAGCCTCTCACCATCTCCTTCTTTGACAAATATTCTAGACTACCAAAGTTGAGGTGTCCAAATCGTAAACGCCATAGCCACGAAGAGTCGGTATAGCAAGCCTTGAGACACTTTGCCACATCATTTTGAATGTTCAAGAGGAACATTTTATTCTTTGACATAGGCACCTTAGCGATCAAGTTATGCCCACAGTCTCTTAAGAAAAGACTATGTTCTTTCAAGTGGATGTTATATCCTTTCTCCAATAATTGTCCCAAGCTCAAAATATTATTTTTCATGTTAGGAACATAGTAGACATTGTATATGAATTGATGACTCCCATTCTTTAAGCGTATGAGAATTTTACCTTTTCCTTTGACCGGTATCTTTGAGTCATCTCCAAATGAGATATTTCCAGTTGTCGCTTCATTGATCTCTATGAACATGCTTCGATCGCCGTACATGTGGTTGCTTGCGTCGGTGTTGAGGTACCACTTGTTTCTTTTCTCTTCAAATTGGTTTTGGCACGTGAGCAACAAAGTTTCTTCTTCTCCACCTTTTTCTTCTACAAAGTTAGCTTTCTCCACAACCTTCTTTGAGAATCTACACTCAGATGCATAGTGACCGATTTTGTTACAGTTGAAGCGCTTGATTTGTAACTTGTTGCACCTTGACCATGAATTTCCATTTCCACGACCTCTTGTTGCTTGTGGATTCCAACTTCTTTCTCCATTGTTGAAGTTGTTGGAGTAGTTGTTGTAACTGTCTCTTCTTTCTCCTTCATGTCCTCGTCCACGGTCTTGGCCACGACCTCGTCCTCTTTGACTCTTGTAAATCGCATAGTTTGCTTCCTTTGCATTGAGTTATAGTAGTTGTTCCATAGTCTCCTTTTGTTTAGTTTTTCTCTTTTGTTTTTCTTCGTATGCTTGTAAGGAACCAATAAATTGCTCAATAGTCATGGTGTTTAAATCCTTGTTTTCTTCAATGTTGGTAACAATGAAGTCAAAATTTGGATTTAAAGTGCGGAGTATTTTCTCCATGACTTCCACCTCATCAACATCTTCACCATTTCTTTTAAGTTGATTAACTACGAACAATACTCGAGAAAAATAATCAGAAATTGACTCAGACTCTTCCATAAATAAACATTCAAACTCACCTCTAAGAGTTTGAAGACAAATCTTTTTCACCTACTCCACTCCTTTGTTGCAAGTTTGAAGCTTGTCCCATGCTTCTTTGACCGTCGTTGCTTTGTAGATCTTCTCAAATGTATCTTCATCCACCGATTGATAAATGAGGAAGAGAGCTTTCTTGTCTCTCTTTCTTGACTCCTTTAATGTCTACTTTACACCTTGGCTTAAGGAGGCTTCATCTTGCTCCTTAAAGCCTTTCTCAACAATATCCCACACATCTTGAGCTCCTAGTAGCGCCTTCATCTTGATACTCCAATTGTCATAGTTGTTCTTTGTAAGTATGGACATTTGAAACGGGAAACCTCCATTCGCCATCTTTTGAGGACCTTTAAGCTATGATGCCACTTTGTTGGAAATAAAGCCTTTTGTGTTTAGTGAAAGTATGTGGGAATATTAGAGGCTTGAATAGAAACTTGATAAATAGGAGAATTATTTATGGAAGAGAGAATTTTGTATTTTGCTTGATGCAAAAGTGTAGAATTACATCTCTATTTATAATACTCTAAGGAGAACTCTAGGCACACTAATTCTAGAGAGTTCTCAACTTTAGGAATTCCAAGAGCATTCTAGAAAATATTACAACCTTAAGAAATATCTAGATACTCCAAACATTACAAGAGTTTTCTAGAAACATTAATTAAAATTACCTAAGTCCAAAATAACTAAGCCCAAAAATTCAAATAAAATATTTAGGCCCAAATCAAGTTTAACCTTTCAACAATTTCTTCATTCAAGTTTATAGAGAATTTTGTTTTGATAAGAAATCTAGTGATATCGAAGTTCTGTTCGTTTTCCGTTTCTACATCATAACAAATGTATTCTCCCATGCGACTAGATATGAATTTGAAGAATCTTTGGTTCCATGCGTGACATGATAAACCGTAACATTTCATCCATTTGAGTCATTTGTTATCATCATCTACAGGTGACCATGGATGAATCTCGTCAAACCACATCTCGATCCAACTCCTGTCTTCTTCAATGATGGATTTTAGCTCTCCTATTTTCGCTTCTTCAAGATGACATTTATTAACACCCAACGACGTCGCAGTTATATTGAAGAAACCTTTCTCATTAAATGCTTTTTGGATACCATACGTAGATCCAGATTTCCCTACCACTCCCACAAAATGCCCTATGAAATATCTCCATTTCCTGTTTATTAGCATTGAACTTAAGGTGAGCGAAAGAAGGTTTCTCGGCCATGACTTCTTGCTTCTTCACATTTTGATATCTAGTTTGCTTTTCAGACTTCCACCTATTATCAACAACCTCTGCAAATGACCTGTTCTTAATGACACTAGCCCTTGCTCCCTTATTGGTAGGTTTGTTCTTTAACCACTCATTTTCTCCATACTTCCTGCTCTTGCTTGTGTTATGAATAACTGTGTTGGTTACCCTTTGGAATCTTAGGATGTTGGCAAAGATTTTTCTTCCTTCAATATGTATACTATCTAGCTTGATAGCCATTAATCTTTCTTCGTTTATCTTTCCAATATCTCACGAAGCCATATCTCCTACCTTGTTTATCTCTTTTCGCCGAGATAAAGACTTCCGAAAGTAACCCATAATCCATGAATATTTCCACCATCTTCTTAGCGTCGTATGTTTCAGAAAATTCAGTGAAGAAAAAATAAGAATTATTTTCTCCACATGTCTTGTCTTTTCCTTGACGTGCCGACCAAATTCAAAGCTCTGTGTTATTCAATCTCTTCCTTTTTGTCACGTCCGTCCAACCGTCCTCATTCCTCTGCAGCCTCATGTCCACCAGAGTTCGATTGAGGACGTCCCTAGTCTAAAGATTGGGACTTTAAGCCTCCCTAATGGATAATGTAGATTGAGTACTTGTTTTGCTTCCTAAGTGTGTTCAGTAGTATAACGAGTTAAAGAGACAAGAAAGTAATTTATTCGACAAATAACTATTTATCTTGTCTTTTACATGCTATTGAATCCTTTGGTTCATTACTAAATTAAAAACCGTGATTGTCACAAAAGTCAATTATTGGATGCTAGAGTTGAACGTCTGGACCGAGGCCTATTTTGGTTTGGTATGAAGGTAACAACAGGTTGTTTATGTATCGAGTCGTTTAACATTTTTTCCAGTTACATCTAAAAACAAATTAGGCAACTTGTTGGTATTTTGGTTTGGGTTATTACGGTGTGGTTCATTTAGTATAGTATGAATAGTATAATATTCAAAAGAAAATTGATGGTAGTAGATAATATTATCAATTCCATAATTATCTTCTCTTAGAGCATCTTTAGTGGGAGTAAACTAAATGGGTAAACTAAGATACTTTTTGTGGGACCAAAGTGATTTGTAGGATTTAAAAAATTTATAGTTGATTTGAGTAGTTTTTACTTTAATGGTGGTTGTCTATAAGAAACCAAAACTTGACCCCACATGGTATTAAATGGTTAATAAAAATCTATTATTTATGTTAAATAATTAATAAAAATTTATTATTTATGTTAAATAATGAGTTAGAGTACGTTGCTTGTGTAGAGCACGTAAACTAGTTTTAGAGCATCCCATATGCCATGTCAGCACTAATATAATGCAAATTCCTTATTACTAACGTAAGCTATAAAGAATTTTGGTTTAACAACCCTGCACTAAAGTTGCTCTTAGAGATGGTGGGGAGGATACCATAAATTTTCTATCTATAACTTTTATGACTGGTTTATTACCCATATAGATTGTATCAAGCGGATGTAATATTCCCGCTTTTTTATCTATTGGATTCAAGCATTTCTTGTGTTTGTTTTATCTATTGGATTCAAGCATTTCTTGTGTTTGTTTTAATATTATTACTTATTAAAAAAAACATAGGAATTAGATCATTTATTTAATCTATTTATATTTTAACTTGTGTTACTTTGACCATTTAGATTATAGGTTCTTAGCATTAAATCCGAAAATTGAGAAACTTGTTTGTGATTGGTCTAAAAGTTATTTTAAAATTAACCTCTTTAAATGTTATAAATTTTTTCATGATAAATCATTTAGTAAAAATGTGGCAATTAAATTTCATAAACGATACACCAAACAATTAAGTAGCAAGTGTACGTTAAAAAAAAAAAAAAAAAAAAAAAAAAAGCAACCCATTGACAAAAGCAACCCATTGACATTTTGATTTGGAATATGTTAAAATCTCTCATTGAACACAATAAAATAAGACTATGCATTGCATTATGTGATTATAAAAAGAGACTACGCATTCCATCAAATAATAAAATAAGACTATGCATTATGTGATTAAAAAAAGAGACTAGGATTCCATCAAATAATGAAATAGGACTTTGTAGAAGAGACCCACTCCATACGTCTATATTTCTTTTTGGCTAATTCACAAAATATTGATCTTTTTTCATATGTAATAAGGTTGCAATGATCATCACAATAACACTTACTTTCATATGTAGTGTTGGTGATGTGCAGTTTGAAAATCCTTAAAAGTTCTAATAAATTATTAATCTTTTTATTATTATTATTATTATTATTATTATTATTATTATTATTATTATTATTATTATTATTATTATTATTATTATTATTATTATTATTATTATTATTAATTTAAAATGGAAAGAAGGTGATCTTGGGCTCTTTCTAATGTTTCTATTACACAAATCCATTACTTTATTCTATACATTAGATGAATACATCGGCTAACCATTGACTTTATGATACCAAAATATAATCTATGAAGTAGAACTAGATATCTCAACTTATATTCTATAAATATTTGGAACTGACTTTTAAAGAAGTCACATCTTTCTACACAAAGTTTTATCTTCAACTTACTTCTAACAAAAAATGAAGATTTCATACACCTCAAACCGATTTCTCATCTTCATCATCTTTACTGCATGCTTATGTTTATACGTTGCTATTCAAAAGAAAAAACCTGACGAAAATAAAGATATCTTAAATATATCTTCAAGATTGGAGATCCCAACGAGTAAGTACACCTCCATATCGGATCTTAAACTTGATAAGCTTCCTAATCAAGATGATGTTATAGAATTATTTCAAGGATGGAAGAAAGAAAATGGACGAGTATACAATGATCTAGAAGAGATGTCAAAGAAATTTGCCACTTTTGTTTCAAATTTGAAGTATATCGTAGAGAGTAATGCAAAGAGAGACTCGCCTAATAGCGTTCGTCTTGGTCTGACCTACTTTGCTGATTTGAGCATCACGGAGTTCAGAGAAACACACATGCCCTTAAACACTGACGCCATGGATATTGTGAACGATGATGATGTTCAGGACGTAACATGTAGTGATCCACCTTCATCCTTGGACTGGAGGTTGAAAGGAGCTGTCACTCCTGTTAAGAATCAACGCCTTTGTGGTAAGTTTGTTGTGTTTGCACGACAATTGTGTTTTTATAATTCACACACAAAATAATATTTCCTTTTCCTTAGGTGCATGTTGGGCATTCGGAACTGTAGGGGCCATTGAAGGAATAGTTGCAATAAAGACAGGGAAGCTAATCTCCCTTTCAGAGCAAGAGATTCTAGATTGTGATGTAACTGGAAGTTGTGCTAGAGGATTAGTGGGCAGAGCATTCTATTGGGTAGAAGAAAACAATGGGATTGCAACAAATGAATCTTATCCTTATACGGCTAGCAAGGGTGTTTGCAGATCCTCCCAGGTTTTTAATTTCTATCAAATTCATTATTATATAGTTTATATGATCACGCATTAAAAACTATTAATATTTCATCTCTTATTTTTTTTCATGAAATGTAGATTCAAAACAGTGAAAATAGTAGTATTTCTGCACATAAGTCAGCCCCGAGATCAGACAGGGGACTATTGTGTGCAGTTGCTAAGCAGCCTATTGTTGTTATGATTTATTCCCGTTCACAATCATATCAACTTTACACGCATGTAAGTGGTTATATAATGTAGAGTTCTTAACTTATTCATTCATGTCCACTATTCACTTTGTTTAAACTCATTTAACTCCTAGCCATCGGATCAAGCTTTTAAAAATGTGTTTCTTACCCCAAAAATGGCAGCGACAAAACCGAATAGAAAGGTGTTGATTCCGTTATATACATCATAGGAAATTCATGCTGCAACACCCAAAATATTCATTGCAACAATCGCATTAATCGCATACATAACTGCTTTTTAAGCATCTCCTATAGTGTTTTAAAGTATTTTTACATTTGTTAATGAAGAATATTTTTATCCATTGACAGGGAGTATTTCAAGGTGACGATTGTCCGTTGGATTCTGTGGAAGTAAGCCACACCATGTTACTAGTGGGATATAATTCTACAGACACCGAAGATTATTGGATTGTGAAGAATTCGGGAGGGCCAACATGGGGAATGCAGGGTTATATGTGGATCAAAAGGAACACTAATAAAAAGTATGGAGTGTGTGCAATCAATGCATGGGCTTCTTTTCCAATCAAAAATTAAAAGTTTATGTTTTTCTGAATCTGGAGTTTGTTATGGGGTTATTCTTGATTTTGTTTTGGACATGTCAATTCTCTTGTTCATGATTGATATTCTTCATGTAACATAGAATTCATGATAATAAAATAGTTGGTATTTTGTGATTAGTATTCTCTTGCTTCTTTACGATGATTTAGAGAATTCAATTTACTTTGTTCTTGAAAGAAAAGAGTAAGAGAATTCAATATTCTTCGTTCTCGAAAAGAAAATATTGGTGTCTTGTTGTTTATAAATAAATTATATTTTAAACTAAAACATTATTAATGAAAAATATTAGAGAGATAAGCTCCAACTTCTCTCTAATTTTCATATACCTCAAACCGAAAATTAAATACTAACGAACAACATTACTGATCAATACCAATCTTCTACGAATTTCAAACAAAACAACAAACACAAAACAAAAAAACATCTCACAAACCATGAACTACAAGAATATTGGACGTAACGAGCACGAATTAACCTAAGTGATAAGAGAAAAACAAAACAAACACTATTACAAATAATATATTCTTTACCAAATCTTTTACCTAACTCAACTAATAACTAAGGTGTGAACCAAAGACGATTCACATTATATATATATTTTTTAAAAAAAGAGTAGCTACTCATTTGATTAAGATGAAAAGAGAAGGAAAAAAAAGTATTTAGGGGACACACCTACAAATCCCAACAATTTCATTTTAGCAATTTTTTTATAAACATTTTGTATATGACCAAATCTTTGATCAATCGTCTCTACTTGAAGAAACTGTTAGGAAGATCCAAAAGTCACCCATTGGTTGGAGATAGAGCATTGGAATAGTTTATATAGAGTGACACCCCTCACCTTACCAACCGATTTTGTAGGGTTGTGTTAGGCCAAACTCTAATATGGTATCAAAGTCTATCAATCGGACCTTGAGGAGTTCACAGTTTAAATCCACGCACTAAGCCTAAAAAGAGTGCTGGGCGTGAGGGGGTCTGTTAGGAAGATCCTAAAGTCCCACATTGGTTGAAGATAGAGCATTAAAATAGTTTATATAGAGCGACACCCGTCACCTTACCAACTGGTTTTGTAGGGTTGTGTTAGGCCAATCTCTAATAGAAAGCTTTGTATTCATTCAAGATGAATGAAGACAAAGGCTTGTGAAAGCATCTGGATATGTTCATCAAGTTGATTCTTGATCTTGAGAATATCAAGGAAGATTAAGCGTTGTTGTTGTTGTTGTTGTTGTTGTTGTTGTTGTTGTTGTTGTTGTTGTTGTTGTTGTTGTTGTTGTTGTTGTTGTTGTTGTTGTTGTTGTTGTTGTTGTTGTTGTTGTTGTTGTTGTTGTTGTTGTTGTTGTTGTTGTTGTTGTTGTTGTTGTTGTTGTTGTTGTTGTTGTTGTTGTTGTTGTTGTTGTTGTTGTTGTTGTTGTTGTTGTTGTTGTTGTTGTTGTTGTTGTTGTTGTTGTTGTTGTTGTTGTTGTTGTTGTTGTTGTTGTTGTTGTTGTTGTTGTTGTTGTTGTTGTTGTTGTTGTTGTTGTTGTTGTTGTTGTTGTTGTTGTTGTTGTTGTTGTTGTTGTTGTTGTTGTTGTTGTTGTTGTTGTTGTTGTTGTTGTTGTTGTTGTTGTTGTTGTTGTTGTTGTTGTTGTTGTTGTTGTTGTTGTGTGCTTTACCAATATTTCATGCTTACTTCAAAGAAACTCTCTTGTATGAAAAAGAGTTCATGAACCTTAAAGAAGTTCACTCAACCTTGTACTCGAAGAATTTGAACAAAAGGAAAGAGCAAAAGCCATCATTTTTCAAAGAAAGTTTGTCTGTTAAAGGAAAGTTCTCAAAGAAAGATGGTAAGTATGTGAGGGAAAATGGTAAATTTGAAACTCTCTTGTATGAAAAAGAGTTCATGAACCTTAAAGAAGTTCACTCAGCCTTGTACTCGAAGAATTTGAACAAAAGGAAAGAGCAAAAGCCATCATCTGTCAAAGAAAGTTTGTCTGTTAAAGGAAAGTTCTCAAAGAAAGATGGTAAGTATGTGAGGGAAAATGGTAAAGCTCTTTAGAATTCATATGGTCGTAATGCTCCTGCAATTAGGTGTTATCATTGTACGAAGGAGGGTCATACAAGAAAACCGAATCAACCCAATAGAAAACCGCAAACCAAGCAAAACCAAATCGAAAACGCAAAAAGTTACATTTACTTCGGTGTGTTTAGGACATTTTTTAACAAAACTGCGCAGTTTGGTTTGGTTTGCAATTTCTATTTTGCAAACCGAAATAAACCAAACCAAACTGCATTATGTTACAATCCAAAATTCACTTATCTCACATCCAACCCAAAACTTAAACCTATTAAGCATCAACCTTACAAATATTCTCTTACTAACACTTAGGGTTTTGGTAACCTTCTCAAATCTCTCATAGTAGTATCACACATTCTTCTCATTTTCTTTACCATGTACATCTCATCTATACTATTCTAATCTCACCTATCTTATCACTAGTAGAAAAAATGCTTGTTAAGTCAGTTGAAAATGACTTTTTAAGTCGGGTCCGAAACTGACCTAAGAATTGTCGACATAAGAAGTTTTGACTTCTTAAGTCGGATTTAAACCTGACTTAAGAAAATTTTATTAGGTCGGTTTAACTACGTCCGACTTAATAAGTCTAGGTTTTCAGAAAACCCTTATCCAATTTGTACCCAACTTAAGAACTTCTTTTCTTAAATCAGATATATTTAACCGACCTAACAGGTTTGGTTTTTTTAATATCACTTTTTTAGAATAACGCGCGCGCGCACAGAAAATTTGTTTGATTGAAACACCTCTATATTTTTTTCAATGCGCCTACAACTCACCTGGCATGTGTTATACGTTGGAAAAAAAATTGTTTGACACATGTATGTTTTAGGAAATACTTGGAAACTTGGTTATTGAGGGGATTTTTATGAAACACATAGTTATTTGAATAAAAAATTCTCAGCTTTCTTCATTCATTTATTTCAATATTTTTAGTGTGAAATGTCAGCAATTTGCATTAATAAGTCAACTACAAGCAGATATATATACTATATATACATACAAGAAACGGACAACCAGTCATGAACTAAACGCTTATTGTTTCAATAATTTCCATTAGGAATGAACAATTAATATTTTCACAGGGTCATATATGACTATTTTTTTCTAGTGACACTTATAACTTAAAAACTTTCAGCACGTAATCAGCATTAGTGGCCAGGGGATGAGGAACAAAAATAAAAATAAGTAAAGCCTTGCCAAATTTAACTAAAGCTCCACTACTCCTTTCAAAGCAGCCATGGGGGAATATTTTATACAGAGGATAAACTCACATGAAATAGCTTAGTGCTTTCTTAACTCTTGAACCACCTTCCCTATAGAGTTCGTTCCATTGTAAAAGCTCTGTCATATTAACAGATTCAGAAGAAACACTTGCACATACCTGATTCAAACTTAAATTTAAGGTTAATTTTTTTTTGGGTTTCTGCATGGCTGGAGGGAGATTATAAAAAAGGTTCTTTTCACACATGCCTGTTGGTGAGCATGTTTAAAATCTTCCATATTTAAAGATCGGATATCATCACTTCCTCGTAATGCAGGTGCAGGTCTACCTTTGAGCAGCAGCAAGATCCTGTCATGCATCAAACATGTTACAGCACAATGAGCAATTCATGCAAACATGATTTCAGATTTACTTATTTAAACAGAGCACTCTAAATTAGTCTAACGGTTAATTTACATTCAAGAACAATGACATACTCAGGGCACCTAGCATGATGCTAATGCACCATTCTAGAACAATGACATACTCAGGGCACCTAGCATGATGCTAATGCACCATTCTAAAGAACCATACCTTTTTTTCCTTTTCTAATATCTCTTTAATAGGACGGTGTGCAGCAGTTACACATAAGTTCTGCAATAGAAGAGAAAGCATGAAGGCACCGATAACCTTATCCTTAAAAAGTAGAGCAAAAGGAAAAAGAACACCCAACCTTGAGATCACTTCTAGAATATCCGTCAGTCATAGTTGCAATTGCACCCAGATCAATATCAGAAGACAAATCTTCTTTTGCAAGTATAACTTTTAATATTTTTGCTCTATTTGGAGCATCTGGTAAATTTACCATTAATCTGGAGAAGTTCAAAGACCATGAAAAATTCAATATCTCCCAAACAAAATAAATGAAAAAGTTTAAACTAAAGTGTGAACGAACTAACCTCCTAGGAAGCCTTCGTATGACAGCCTCATCAAGGTCATATGGTCTATTGGTGGCTGCGAGCACAAGAACTCTTTCAGTATCCTTTGTACGTAAACCATCCCAGTTCACCATGAATTCATTTTTCATCTTTCGCGTGGCCTCGTGCTCCCCTGGATTTTCCCTCCGGCCCAACATGCTTTCAACCTATACAAGAAACCATACTGGTTTTCTTAGTAATCTATTTTTTAAGGGATGAATTAATACAAACCAACATCATTTTATGAAAAATCTTACTTCATCAACAAATATCACACTGGGCGCAATTTTACTTGCCAGGGAGAAAACGACTTTGACATATTTTTCACCCTCACCAAACCACAGAAGGAAAATGTGGAGAATGCTAGTTACAATAAACAGTGAACTGATAAAAAAGAGTATAATAAACACATTGAAGCAAATCTAACCTTAGACGTGATGCTTGACATGGAAATATTGATGAAGTTTGCACCGGTGTCGGTAGCAACTGCCTTGGCAAGCATTGTCTTACCTGTTCCCGGGGCACCAAATAATAGAATCCCCTTGCATGGCTGCACAATAAGTAAATCAAAGTTAAATCAAAATGAACAATATTTGAAAAATTCAGCACGCTTGACCGATGTTTCATATGCCAACCAATAATCACTAGCCATCATAGATGCTTGTCACAACACAGAAAGAAAGAGTACCGCGAAAACCCCAATCCATCCAAAAGCCTCGGTGCAGTAGAGTTTATAGATATTAAA